ACCCTAATTTCCTTGAACTAAGTCATTTTCTCGCTTTTGACACAAATGCAGAATTTTTTCTAAATCCACCTATTTTCTCTAATTAGAAAAAATGATGTTTAATATCAACGACCAACCAGTTTCAGTTATTCATATAAAGAAAACATTTGAATTACAACCACATTTACACGTTTACATGATAGTTAATGTTCGATACATCGAAACAGGTACTTTTGAGGAACTTAGTATTTACCCCACTTCCCGATATTGGCCATTCTTTCTTTTTGTATCTGATCACCCAGAGTCTTGTCCTACAAATATTGAATGTGAACATTGTACATTGGACTAGAATGATAATTTTTTACGAAGGAACCTTTGTCCAAATTAAAGGTTTCCAACGCTCCTTCATTCTAGCAGAAAATTTCAAAATAATCCCCATTTTTATAATTCATTTCGAAACGCTTTATAATGGCGAACTACACAGCACCATTATTAAACCAAGCAATAAATACTGGCATTTAATACTATGTCTTGCGAATAGCCTAACATTTCCCATTCCCTGCGATCTAGACCAGATTGAATGAGCAGTGAGAATGACAACTGAATGTCCTATATGTTTGGAAATTTGCGATCAAATGAAAAAATTACACAAAAATTTACCTCCACAGCCACCACATTTAGTTTGCGTTAATTGTTATAATAAACTCAAGCTAAGAGCTAGTACACCATTCGCAAAAATTCCTTGCCCCATTTGCAGGCAGATTATTCATGTAATTAATATGACAGAATACGATGTCTGTAATATCTGCAACCAATTAGTGTTATCCAGAAACAAACGAAAAGGTGAACATATGATAGTTAAGCACCCTTATATTACTGTATGCAATAACTGCATTGAGAAATGTAAAAACATCTGCCCTATCTGTTTTTCCAAAATTGCCTTTGATGAGTTTTGGGCATAACTTCTTTTTATACAATGGCAAACGAATGCCCTGTTTGTCAAGAATTGAAAACAACCCTTCAATTAAGAAAACTTCACAAAAGAAAGTATCCACAACCATTTTATTTAATTTGTAATGAATGCTACATGACTCTCAAATCCAAAACTAACTTAATTTTTGACAACTTCTTATGCCAAATATGCCACCAGGATGTTCACGTATTAAATTTCGAACAAATTAACAAATGTCTGACCTATAAAGGCAATAAAAAAGGAATAAACAATTATGCTGTTTGTTTAGGAAGTCGCAAAATGTTCTGCTTGGTAATGGACATTGATTTTGTCCTTGATTATAATCTCCTCGTCGAAGTTGACGGTTACGAAGCGCGCACAAACCGTAGTTATATTCATCCCGATCAACAGCAGTTGGATATTTTTTGCCAACGTTATAGTCCTGGCTTCCACGATGAAGAAAAATTTACTGTCAAAAGCAGCAGTAGATTTTTTAATATTATCTTAAATGCATTCAACAATGACGAAGATGTTATCGACATAAATTTCCAAACCTCCAATCGAATTATTTTTTAATTTTTCCTTCTTTAAAAAAGATGATTCAGATAACTTTACCAGCTTTTATAAGTAAAATTTTTAAAGCTTGTTATTTTTATTTCCAAAGTTTTCTTTATGTTTCTCAACCCATTTTACAGTACTTCCGAAAAACCATTGAACAACCCACTCTTGAATGCCCAATTTGCTACTTACCAAAATCCAAATTCAAGAAACAACATCATAACGAGCCACATCATCCACCACACTTTATCTGTATAGACTGTCATGACCAAATTGTAGCCCATTTTTCTAAATATGGACAGATTTTATGCCCCATTTGCCAAGTCCCAAATTATACCCAATCACTTTCATATTACTCCCCTTGTTGTTTATGCGAAAAAATGATTAAAAGCGCAAATTGGGGAAATACCCAAACCCAATGTATGGCAAGCTATCAACATCTTACTGATTGCCATCAAGGTATCATTATTTGTACAAGATGCCTCCCTAATACGGCACAATTTTGTCCTTTACGCCACATCCCTTGTGATTTTTCCGACCCCTGGAATTAATCCTCCACACTTTACGATGTCCATTTACGATTCCTCTACCTTCCTACATTTGGTAAGATCTATAGACTTAAGTAATCAGCTCACAATTTATAAACCTTTTTAAATAACAATTAACACAAAAATCTCTTTTACACATGCTATATTATATACTATTTACCCCCTCCCCCCGGTTTTTTCAAGTCCCTTTTACCTATAAAAAGGGACCCCATGGTAAGCCTGTGGATGACCCCAGGTGGACATACATTTAAGATTAGGGGTTAATTAATGCCCAAATTTCCATTTTTTGCTTTAACTACATAAGTTTAATATTTGAGCTTAACTCAGTGTTGTAAAGTGCTTTATTCCTGTGGTTAATAAACACCATGATCGTCTTTCTTGATTTGTATTCCTGTGGTTAATAAACACCATGATCGTCTTTCTTGATTTGTATTCCTGTGGTTAATAAACACCATGATCGTCTTTCTTGATTTGTATTCCTGTGGTTAATAAACACCATGATTGTCTTTCTTCATTTGTTTTCCGTGGTGGGTTTGTGTGAAACCACAAGATTATATTTTCCACCTTTTATATATATATACAATTTTACACTTTGTCCTTCATCGTTCAAACATTTGATAATTAGCCTTAATATCCGAATGTAATTCGGGATTTTGAATATTTGGTCATTTTATATTGATGCTTAGCAAAATGGAATACGACCCAATTTTAAACTGGAATTGCAGAAACGCAGACCCAGCACCAGAGGAGTTCAAAAGAAAGCTGCCCCTCAGGAAGAAACAACGGAAACCTCTAGCAGTTCAATCTTTGTTATTAGACGACGGGTTAAATAAGAACCCTCGCAATTTTCCCAGTTTAACCCAAAGATTGGGGCTGCAGAAGTGCAGAGAAACCAAATTGGATACGGAAAATCCAAAATATATAACGAGTTTAAAGTACTCAATAAAGGAAAATTTTAACAGATGGAAACTGCCATCGTTCATTGAAGTCGTTAACTCAACGACAATGGAAAAGGCGATGATGCCTATCGACTTCATAACCCAGCCAGAAGGGGTTATAAAGAACGAAAACAACTTCTGAAAATTAAAGAAGAGGGAGGAACACGGCTACATCCTCAAGGCAGGAGGCACGCAAGTCACCATTCCGTTCGAGGGAATAACTGCTTTTCCGAACCATGTAAAAAACAGACAGGAAGAACAGGACGACATTCAACAACTTACGGACGGAATGAGCAGACTACGAATCAAAAACAAAATTAAAAAGAAGAAAATCGTGAAGTTGCAACAAAAACTTGAGGCTTCACAGAGGAAGATAGCGATCCTCAGATCATACAATGTGGAGCTTGAATCCGGAAGGAAGCTCTAGATTAAACCTAACTTATCTTTCTAACTTTTTCGTTTGATGTTCTCTTTAAATTTTATAACTATAGTATTTAACCATTAAAGTGTTTAAATTTTCACCATGGTAACTGTAAGAATCGAACAGCTTAATTTTCTAAAAAAAGGGGTGAGTTGTAGTATTGCGAAATACTACACACACACAAAAGACCATTGTCTTAATTGTTTATTTAACGACCCAATTCTAAATTGGAGCGTGCCATTTAAATTAAAGCCTCTTTTCACTAAATCAGATATTGACTGATTTACTCTTATTAGGACTATAGAATCTTGTTTTGAAAATCCACTCCTTTTTAAATACTTGTCCAATTTTTCTCATTTTTTCATGCTCAATATTTTAAAAGGGCGGCGATTATTAATACGTCCCTTTTAACTTAACTTGAAACAAACTGGATAAATATTTAGCAGTCTTGCCGGCTGCACTGAAATTCTCCTTGCTTTGATTAAGCAGAGGTGCACCTGCAATATGATGCATCAGAGAGAGTAATATGAATTTTTAATAAGACAAACTGAAGGCTGCGGTTTTTATCAAAGGGGACTAATAAGTTGAAGATATTTGATGGAAAAATCAAATAAAAACTAGTTGAAAATTCCCTTATTAAAAAGGGAGAACAAAGGAGCAGGTGAAACCTGAATAATTAAAGATTGAATCAGCCGCCGGTTTATGCTTATGAGCAAAAGGACTGGCCTGAAATCTTCAGTGTTTCATTTTGCTCAGTCAGCAGCAAGTCATTTCTCTTCAGTCAGATCTTATAAAAATAAATAATTTTTCTTTTCTGCCCTAACACTAAAACTAATCTAGCCCTTTTCATTTATAAAAAGAGAATAAATTCTCATTTTAAGTTTGATTTGAAAAATTATAAATCGAGATAATCGAGATACGCACCCCCGAGGAAGTCCGGACTACAAGTACCCAAAGGACTACGGCAAGACGATTCAGACGACCCAACCAGAAGTGCTGACTTGGACAAACATCAAGGGCAACCATACATGCTAATCAGCCACCGACCTTAGTAAGAAGATAAAATATTGATGAACAAAAATAAGATTAGCTCAACCTCCCCTCATAGGTATATTTCTTTAAGCTGTTCGATTCATTTATATAATCTAATAACCCAGTGCTCTGTATCTAACCAACTAATTAATTCATACCTTTTCTAACTATTGTTTCTACTCTACTTTTTGTCAAGACAATTTGACGATCTAAGGTGAGACTTATAATTTAGGATAAAATTACTAAGCATTCAACCAGCAATGAGCGCTTAGTAAACAAGCGAAGCCGTTTCGAGCCTCACAGTGGCCCTGGAGATATTTTTATTTCATTTAGAACAATTTATGGAAAAAATTTTTTTTTGTTTCATGAAAGGTTTCAATAAATGGAAGCAAATAGAAATTTAACAGGTTTCAAAGTCAAGAATAGTTTTTTACATTCTTAAGCATACATTTTTACTTCTATCTACCCAATCTACTAAAACTGTTGTATATTCATTCATGTTTGATTCAAATTATTGTTCTGCTGATGCATGTTTTTGTTTGGCGTTCTTATTCTCTTTTTTTAATGTTCAGAAGTTCCCGGAGAAACATTCGACTACGAGAAGCCCGAAGTTTGTCATTCCGACTACATGACTCAATTTGGATGTGTTTACGATGTCGTTTCAAGTGTGTTCTGCAAAGAAACTTGTACACACGTGGTGCAGAACTTTGCAGCACATCCTGGTCTTTTTCAGAAACTTGCGGAACACCCAGATCTTGTTAAATCCGGTGCGGAACGCCAGAATGTAAATCTCAAAGTCGACATCATAGACGCCATTCCGGCTGATGAAAAAGAAAACTCTAAGACTAAAATGTCCGGTCAATTACGATCAAGTGCTCCAGCGCAACTTCCTGCCATGGTCAAAATGGCATCCAACCAGAAAAGTATTATTTAACAACTCTTCTTCCAATTTAAGTTCGTCTAATTTTTTATTTAAATTTTATTACTGTTGGTTTGATTTGAAATAAGTTCCCCATTCAATAATTCCAGTCTATTATCTGAAAAATGCTTCTTTCTGCTTTAGAAAGTGTCGACCAATTGAGCTATCGTGACAAGATGACCAATCGAGCAACCGTGATTGGATGTGCACTAGGCATTGTAGCATTTGTGTCACTTGTGGTAGGACTCTCCTTCAGAGTCATAGCTGGCCGACACACTCGTAGAGCCTATACTCAAATTTGAAGACAATCTCATGTATTGACCTGTGTATATCTACGCTTCATTCATAATTGAAAAATCTATACTAAATATTTTGTAGTCATGAAACAATTTCAAACTTTTCTCTAAAGAAGCCTTGTATTTTAGTTTTATATAATTGAAAGCTTTGCATACACGTTTTAGAACCGCTAAGTGATGTAATTGATATTTTGAAATGGAGCCCGAATTCTTAACGTCGGAAAGAGCACTTGGTTCAAAACAGAAATCAGTGACTTTTTTAATAGTGTTGTTACTTTTTATTATTCTTAAGGATTGTTTCCGCTCGGGTACATTTTTCACCTATGTTAATGCTGAATCATCAGTCTTTTCAAAAATACAAAAAAAAAACATGTTAGTTCCCCTCAGTCTTCAAACACTATCTTCGGATCTCTAATGACATGCAGAACCTCTACGACTTCGTTGCTGCATTTCTTTGAAAATCTGATTGTATATAAGAAAAGCTCAGTATAGTAAGCATTTGACATGGTTACGATGCCCTGGGCCTAAAAATCAACTTTGACAAAAATTAATGCTGATTTTTGTCGATTCTTTGCTTTAGTTTTACCAATTTTTTAATGATTCATTGATGGAATTATCATATATTACTGCTAAATCAGGAAAGATTTGAGCTGTGACATTATTCGCGTCAGTCAATTTTTGACAAATTAGGTAACTACTTTTGGCAAAGTGTTTCATACCTTTCAAATTTTTTCGACACCATGCAAAAATATTTTTTCATAATACCATTTTCATTACCACGGGGAACAAGACGTTTTGGAGAATGCCAATGATAACACGGAGCAAATTTTCTTTCACCGTATCGCAGAAATGTCAAGCACCCTCGCGAGATTGAACAATTTGCCTGGCTATGATCCTTTTCAAGAACCTGTCCCCTTTAGAAAAAATTTGACCCTGTTATTGGTTGACAAACTACAAACATTTAAATACTCGATTAAATCCAGAGTCATGGTTTTTAAGTTAATTTTACTAACTTTGTTATCAACGACTAAGAGCAACTAATCCCCGCCTTGCGGGTTTAATTCAATCTTATTATTATTATGATTATTATTATGATGATTATTATGATTATTATTATTATGATTATTATTATGATTATGATTATTTATTGAAGTTACTGTGGTTTGAAAAATGTCATTTTGGTTTAAATGAGACCACTAATGCAATCAAGATTTCAGTTGAAGAGGAGCACAAGTGACAAAAGTTTTTCGTGATCAAAAATCATTTCAAATTGAACGGAGTGAAGCTAATTGATCCAATTGACTACTAGTATACAAAAATCTCATCA